TACTGTGTTTCTTATCTCCTTTCTTGTAGTGAAAAACCATTCCTCACAGCTGATTGCCCCTGGTGGAAGAGATCTCCACTGGCTCAGCCATCTAGATGCTCAGCCATCTAGAGCACATGCCACACACATGGTGCTCGTCACATGCTTTCAGAGAGCATCCTGGAGTGTCATCGTTGATACTTTCACCTCTGAGATCCAAATGGCTGAAGGCAGGGCTTTGTTAGATACACCTTTGACTCACCTGAAACCATTATGATTATTGAGTTCCTTTATTTTCTCTGGAGGGACTATGGTTTGCCAGGGCTGTCCTGGCACTTGGATCACATTGGGTATCTATCAAACAGGGTTCTTGATTGTAAACCACAAAGTGATAGTGTTGACTGTATAAATAGAAAAGGAATTTATTTAAACCAGTGCTCTTGCTTTTCTCGTGTACAATTTCGGGGTTTATAACATGATTGGATGATATCTTTCCTCAATAGACTTATACTGAATTTAGTATTTCCTTAAGTTATGAATGTATGTGACTTATCATCTTTGGAAATCATATTTTTAAGTCAATTTCAGTTGTTTTAGACATTTCAAGTGTTGTGTATATGCATTACTATTTCTGATTAACAGAAGGTATTTGTTCTGTCACTAAATTTACTTAAAGCACAAATATAAAAAGACATACATGTTATGCTACGTATTTTTATTTTTTAAATTAAAACTGTATTTTGATACAATTGGTTTTCTATATATTTTGATTTGTACATTAAATATATTCTCCCATGCTTCTGAGGCTGCACCAGACCAGCAAAGGGCTCATGCACATAAAAGGTTAAGAACTCTTTGACCTAAAGCGTATTAGCTAAGTCTCAGTGAGTTGGCTATGTAATTTTTAGAAGCCAAGAGCAAAAGGAAAGTGGTCTTTTGTCAAAAAAATAAATCTTAAGAATTGCAAGGCTGCAAGAGTCGACCATTATGCAAACATAGGGGCCTGCTAAATCTGGGACCTGTGTGACTAACTACATAGGGTACATGCCTGCGAAGTTGTCCAGCTCATAGAATTTCCAGAAAGTTCAAAGGGCCGGGCTCAATGGCTAGGGAGCCAGGAACAATTTCCAAATTGTGCTAGAGCACTGGTTTAGTGAAAAACAGGCTGCCTCTGCCGGGCACAGATGCTGCAGCTAGTCTCCATGCCACACTGACAGTAAATGCTGAAAATTACCCTTGATTCTATTGCCGCTGGTGCTGGATGGAGCTCTCTCTGTTGCCAGAATGGATTCTGTGTGACTCCTGCTTTTTTGTATCACACTTTACAGCTTGGTGTCTGCATTTGGTTGGTGGAGACTAGTTTAAGGCCAGCCCAATTGCAAGGGAGTTTGGTGAAACAAATCTGTCACTGCTAGCCTCCACAGAGGGAGAGCTGCTCAGCCTCACAATGAGAGAGACCCCCAAACAAAGGAAGGGGGTTCAGATATTAAGAGGCCAAAAAGCACAATGAATGTTCTTGACAGATCACACACCTGACCACTTCTGCAGAAAAGCCGGTGGGCTAGCATATAGCATAGAGTATGCGGCCACCTTTAGGTAGACAAGGCTGTGTGTGGGAAAATACGTTATATATAAATATGATGAAATACTTTTAATTTCTGGGATATTTGGATGCTTTCAAAGAACAATAAGGAAGAATATTTGGAACAGAGATCATTGAAGAAAGTTTACAACCTATAAAAGTAGGACAAGAAACTTGGCCTTTTTTGCCTAACAAGTTCTATCGACAAGACCAGACAAAGCCAGGAAGAAAAGATAGGAACTACACTGTCACAAAACAGTGAGACCTAATGAATGTAAGTGTTTCCTTGGAGCAAAGACTGTTGAGTCAATGAGGATGCACCTGAAGTTGGCCAAGGCCAAGGGGAGTAAGTGTTGCTCTGGAGACAAGCCCCAAGTACCACTCTGTGCAGCAGGGGCTGGACCCCTAACCCTAACCTGTGGCTCATGTCCCCCTCTCGCTTCTGACCAAAAAGTAAACCAGGAACCAGGGGTAGGTTTTTCTGTCTCTTTTCCCCAACAGAGTGATAAGGGAACTGTTTTTTTCAAAAAGTGATACAAGGACAGAGCTGCTAGCAGGAGGTTTGGCAGGAGTCCAGCAGAGTGCAAACTGCCTTCTAGAAGTGTGATGGGTGGAGAGACCATTGCTGGCTGGCCAGGGGCGGGGCCATCCAGCAGCTCTGCGAGGGCAGGAACACTGGAGCCCTGCCTGACAAGACAGAGGAACAATTGCCGCACCGAGTGGGTGAGGCTCCCTCTGAGAGCTTGGTGATGGGGCTGATGGAGCTGCCTGTGAGACTATTCTAAGAAGGAGCACGAGTGAGCTCACCTTTCCTCCTTTCCTCCCCTTAGTAACTCTTGAGAAAGTTATCATTATCCACACTTTGCAAACTGTAGAATCCAATTTCCAACCCTCTTTACCTTCCCAACGCATTACCTGGAAGAGAAGCGTAACTGGCCACCATTTTTTGCTTGCCCTCTGGGAAAAAGATGGAATGTTTGTGTTTTGAGTGTTCTTTTTACCATGAAGAGAAAAAACTAATCCACACCCTTCCTACCCACCAAATACAAGTTCTTTGGCAAAATGAAAACAAAAATAAAAATAAACAAATTTTAAAAACTCCACAAAAACCTTAATGTGGTTTGTGGGGCTATTTTAAAAATAAACACTGGAATAATAGTAAATTTTTAGAAAAGTTGCAAAAATAAGTATAAGGAGCATGGCTGATCTTTATTTAGCTTCTCTTAATGTTGATAATGGTGCATTTGTCAAAACTAAGAAATTAGAGTTGGTATATAAATATTCACTACACTATGGGCTCTTTGGATTTCATCAGTTTATATACCAATATCTTTTCTTTGTTTGAAGATCCAACTTAGGATATCACATTGTTTTTGAGGAATCTTGAAATTTCAGAGAAATTTCCAATAGGCCATGGAGGATTTGACTCTGAATAAAAAAAGTTTTTATTTGTAATTTCCCCCTATTTTTCTTACCACAATGATTTGAAAATTAAGTGCTCTTTAAAGCTTTTCTTGGCTTCTTGATTGCTTCACTGGAATGTTAATGCAAAGTGGTTTGAGTATTTTGGAGCAAAGGTACTGCAAAAATGTAGAATGGTGTGATGTTCAATTTGAAATTTGGAATATTTAGATGTTTCCTCTCCTCCACTTCTAAGTCCTAAGAAACAGGTGAAAACCTCCTACCTCATATTTTCCTGTAGAGTGATGTAAGTTTGGCTCAGGGATCTGCTTTGTGGTGAGGGCAAAAGGGAATAAAAGGTGAGATACTGTGCAAAGTATGTAAATGGTTTCTCTGAGCTATTCAATCCATTGTATGCAGCACCAGGCTTCTGCTAGCAGTATTCCAAACCATGGAGTGTTGTATTATATTTGTCTAGGCGTCTGCTTATTGATTAGGCATCCTTGCTAATGTAAATTTTTTTCTCTTCAATGGAACCAAAAATGGAATCATGGTTAGGTATTTCTGAGTCTGTAACAGTTCTTTTTTCATTGTCTACTGACCTGGACTCCTGGAGCTTTGAGGAATCTGTAAAATTTCAGGAGCTAGGATGCTGGGGCTCTCTGTCATGGTTCTGTAGAACTGAGATCTCACACAATGATTCTAATAAAAGTTGTTTATGGGAGTTGATGAAAAAGGTATAGCCTAAACGTACATGCTTGAATCAAAATTTAGCTCTCTGTTCTCAATCTTCATTCATGCTAATACAAAAATATGGGTATATTACAAAATCATATGCATGATTCAATCTCTCTGGCATTAGAGCCTACCTCACAATTAGGGCTTACTTTTAGAACAGTGATAATTACTAAAAGTTTTTGCAAATTTAGTATGTGTTCAGTAGTCTACCATATTCATTACATGCTTGTTTCATATAATTTCTCATAATTCTTCATGTTAAGTACCATGATTTCAATGAGGCAAATTAAACTAAAAGTTGAATTCATTAAAGGTCATACAGCTAGAAAATAGTGAAGTCAGGACTTGAACTCAGAACTGTCCAGTATTCTCTTACTTGTCTTGCCATACTAAGCTAGAATATATGCTTAGTTGGTAAGTATACATCTAAAATATACATGCAGTTTTCTGGGAAATGACTCTCTATGCCTCTTTTAAACAAAAATTACTCAAGTTCCAGAAGTCAACAATCTACACATTATTGAATTTTCCCTACATGCTTGGCACTGAAAAGCAGGGAGCAATAAAAGAAAATCAACAAAGTACTAGTGTTGAAAGACCCCGAGAGACCTGAAGTCTCATCCCACCTTGATCTCTGATTGGTTCGGTCACACCATGTAACCTCTTTGGGTATCAAATGATTTGTTTGTAAAGTCAGCAGGTGAGATTAGAAGAACTCAAAGGCTCCTGGCAGTGCTTTAATTCTGTGCCCCCAAGCTTTGGGTCAGATATAGCACAGGATAAATGCCAGATGTCATCCATGCCCTCAAGGATCATAAAACAAAATATTCAAATACATGAAGCAAGTGCAGAACAGCAGATCATTAAATTGTATATCATGGGCTATATGGAATCATTAGACAAATACCCACTTGAACCTCTTACATACTTGGCAGTTTTGGGGATAAAAGATGCATGTCATAATTTTGTCCTTAATAAATATACAAATTAGTTGGGAAAACAGGAAATAGAAATTATAGTAGTAGTAGTACAAGACACTAGATAATTAAGTGCTAAATTATACTATGTAGTCATTTTATGGTGATGGCTAAATAAACACTAGTTCTTGGGCAAGTGTGCAAAACTTAAGGGGTGTGAAAAAACACTCTTAATCATCAAGGTAAGTAATATTGTAATATAACTTTTTTTCAGTGTTGGAGATTGAACTCAGGGCCTCATGCTTTAGGCAAGTGCTTTACTACTAAGCTATGTCCCTAGCCCTAATGCAGTATTTTTAGAAATCAGAATCAAAGCATAAAACTCATAGTTAACAAACTTATTTTATTTAAGGAAATATTGGATCATTATTACAGATTTCTTCCATCTCAGACTCCAGTAAATATCAGCACAGTGCTGTGTGCCAGATACTATACCTTCTTGCTTTACACTGTCTTATCTAATCACACAATGATCCTTATGATTAGATTCTATTCATGTGATTTTATGGATGAGAAAGATGAAGTTTAGACAGCTCAAGTCATAGAGGCTACAAAACCTAGTCACAGGCTTTACAATTCATGCTTCTGAATACTGTCCTGTGTACCAATATGCACACAGAGTGCGCTGCTCCAAGAGAAGATTGTTCCCCCACTGCTGTTAGGGTGGAGGTGCGCTCTGTCCAGTGACCCACCATGTTCCTCCTGGAGGAGGAAGTACCCTGTGCTCCTGGCACCTCTTGCCTACTGGCTGGAACACTCCAGGGCCTCTTCTCTTCCCGTCCATGGATTCCAAGGAGGTAGAAATCACTACTGGAGGCCCCACCCAACATCGCAATTCCAGGATGCACTTTATATTCCAGAGTGAGCTTCACACTTCCTTCATCTAGAAGTAGGGCTTCCAGAGGTCCTCCATTGGAAAGCCTTCCTGCGTGACCCCAAAGAAAGAAGAGGGTACTTGTGTTTATCAGTCTCTCTCAGAAAATGAAACTATGGTGAATTCAAAATTTACTTTAAAAGTGTTTGCCATTTTAGGCCCCATCTGTACCCTTTAGCTCTGTTTCCTGGCAGGAAATGAAACCACAGAGAACAAATGAGATCTTGATTTTCAAGTTAACACTTTGGGGCAGAAGTATTCATCTTGGCAGCTGTGGGTCTAGTGAACGTTTGTCAAAGATCAGGGGCAGAGAGACACTGAGCAACTGAGCCCTTTGGACTCTTTAACTGAAGCATGTTGTTTGGACCAAGAACCTGCTCATGTGCCATCAGGAAAGAGGAGCTACATTTCTATAGTCCAAGACAAGTGGTTCTTAATATGGATATAGAGAGATAACCTGATGTAGAGTAAAGAGGAAACCCAGTAATATGAACTACTGGAAAAGTAATCAACTTTGCAAGTTATTTGGTTCATTTCTTTGCTCTATAGGAAAGGAATTAGAAACCCATAGAAATTACATGACCCAGGGAAAGGTGCCATAACCGCTTTGTGGCAGGTATGGGATGTGAAATTGAGAAAATGATACTGAGATGTGCTAATTTTAACTCCACCAAAGGGCCATTCCAGTGGTGCGTAAAATACATTATTTTTAAGAGTACTGAATACTTTCATTCTTTTCTTTGACCATGTTCAACCTCTTCTCTCAGGTTCAGTGGGAAAATATCCTAAGATCACTTAGTGATGTCTGCAGTGGAGGTCCACATGCAATACATTGGCTGTTTCTGTAGCATAAGTAAGATAATCTCCAGTGGCACAAACCCCTACAGTGATGTAGATTTGCCCACAAATTGGCACATATTGTCTTCGTTTTTATTTTTTATTTTGCTCAAAAAAGTTCCATTTTTATATTGCAAAAGAAGGAGACTATGTTTTAGATTTTACAGTGTGCATAGATGATTCATATAATACTGGCAGTTCTGTCATTTTCTAAGAATTCCAAAATATTTGTTCTTCCAGGAAGTTAAGTTATTTTGCTGGGCCACTCTGATCCCCATACTGGAGAGTTGTGTCTCTCTATCTTTCATCTTCTCTTCCTTGGCATCCCTCCCTAGGGATAAGGACCTGTGGGGAGCAAGGCATCCACAAAGGAAGATCATTTATGACTTATAACCAATCAGAATTTGAGGTATTTAGTTTAGAAATATTAGGTGGAACTGATGAGCTCACAGAAAAGGGAGTGAAAGTTTATGGTGCATGCATCAGCCAGATGGGAATAATCATCTGCTGCCGGTTGCTATCCACTTAAGATACTATATTTACAAACATATATTTGTATACATATATAGTATGCATGACTTATGAATGTTTCAGTTCTTCTGGAGCTTTCCAAAATTCCTTGATTTTACTCTAGTATTTGAGCATTTGTTCAAGGTGTACTCCTCCATCAGTTGTCTTTACCTTCCGTTAGTGTGGTGAGCTTCTTATCTTTTAGGGTGGGCTCAACTGTTACCACTTCTGAGAAATCTTTCCTTGTCTTTTAGGTGGAACTGACTGCTGTTTCCTCTGTGCCACCACACGTCCTTGTAGACACCTGATGTATAGCCAGCCACTCTCTATTTGTGATTGCTTGTTTACATATCTATTTTTGTACATGAGGATCAGAATCATGCTCCATTCATCTTGGTGTTCCAGAGCCTATCATGGTACCTAGAAGCTGAACAGATATTTATGAGGTGAACCCTGTCTTCAGGGTGATGTTGTTCTCAGAAGAGTTCCAGCCGGCTATTGAGTGATTGGCATATAGGGAAGCCAGGTCTCTGGCTCCCTGGGTCTTTCTGAAAGAGATGGCCACAAATGTCAAGAGTGAATATATCTTTTGATACCTGGCACACCTTTGCTTCCAATCTACCAATTCTGGGCCCAGTGCTGCTGTGCCTATAGGTGTTCATGTAAACTGAGTTGTTGAAGAAAACTTGATTTTTTTCAAATGATTTCCAGTTTCTTTTACTACTGCTTTAAAAAAATAAAATATTTATTGAAGTGTGATCATTATCCTGTGAAGAGCCCAAATTACTTTTTTATGTTGCTATCTCTTCCCATCTATTTGATTTTATGCCCTGACAACATATTTGTCAGTCACAAGTATTTATCAAAAGCCCTGTGGGGGTGCCTAACATGACTTTTTTTTGCATATCACATTTTTCTTAAGTATTCTCCTGGTGATATAACTTTGGCTTCTAGTACAGTTTCAATGAGGAAAATATTTCACATAAAAGTGTCTTGAAGTTCATAACCCAGAGATTGTTGCTGTCAGTGAGGAAAGGGAAAGTTATAATTTATTGGCCTCCTATGTACCAGGCAGTGTGTTCTAAAATTGACATACATTATATTATTTAATTCTCAAAGCCATCCCATAGGTAGGTGTTCTTATACCATATTTTACAGCTAAGGAATTAGACTCAGAGTTGGCATGATCCTATAATCACAAGCTCATAATCTTTTCTGTGTATTATTTTTCTTATTACATTAAGCCACCCAAATTTTATCCAAAGGCAAACATTTGGAATGATTACAATAGAAAGTAGATTGTAAATTCCTCTAGGCTGGAGCTATGCATAAAACTGAAATGTGCCATTGGATGATTTTGACATGTCTTTGTTTTTCAATTTTCCCCATCTGTGTGAAAAATAGGACTCACACTGAGATTCCTCTCTAGGCAGCTAAAAATGATGTGTAGATTTCACATCTTTTCTCCTTCCATCAATCATGAAGAACAATTTGTAGGACCTAACCCCAAACTGAAAAGCTGCACAGTGATGTTCATGGTTCTAACTATGTATTCATTTTTTGTTTGTTTTTCTACTCTTTAGAACTCTTCCTTCTGAATTGCACGGTCATGTGCCTGTGTGTGTGTGTGTGTGTGTGTGTGTGTGTGTGTGTATGCATCTTTATCTGTATTTCTCTCAGATCAGGGAGAAAATTAAAAAAAATTGTACATGTGTAACATGTAAACTAAAGCACAGTCATTTATTGATTTGTTCATCCATTCAGCAGTTATTCCTGAGTCCTTTGATGTGATCACAGAGTGTCTGAAAAGTACACAGTGGCCACCCTTGAAGAACTCTTAGGCAAGTATGCAGACAGCAGAGTGCAAGATGGTAAATTTATTCTATATTGGTCCTGTGAACAAAGTCTAAGAGTTTTCAGGAGAGTAAGAAACTTATATAGAGTTTTTTATATAGAGTACAAGTAAGAAACTTCTATAGAGTATAAATAACAAACATATAGAGAAAAATCTTTAGGAGAATAAGACAATTATATAGGGAGAAGGATGAAAATATCAAAGAACAATGAAATTCACAGATATCTTGCTGGATATTTAGTTATTCCACAAACATTTATGGTATTGACAATCTCAAATGTATCATTCACCATTTGAAGCCCTAGATAAGCAAAGATAGGTAATACACAGTCACAAAGCACTTATGGGTTGGAAAGGGGAAAGGACACATAACCAAATGAGTGGCAGGTACAAAGACTCAATTAAAGTTACCATGCAGCGGGACATCTTCAGGAAGTCCAGTGGGTCTGGGCTCTGCCCCTCTGACCAGCGAACAAGAAAGGCAAAACCTCGGGCACCCTCTGGGGCCTCGGTGGCTACCCGCCACACCCATAGTGTGTTGGTCTGGCCTGGGCTGAACCCCAGATGTCTTCAGGAAGCCCGGTGAGTTGCTGCTTTGCATCCCTAACCAGCAGGCAAGGCAGGTGAAACCTCGGGCACACTCTGGGGCCTTGGAGGCTCCTCGCCACATCCATAGTGTGTCTTCCTGGGCTGGGCTGAAGGTCAGACACCTTTAGGAACCTCGGTGAGCCACTCTGGTGCCTCCCCCAGTAGTGTATGAGGCATGTGGATCCTTGGACAACTTCTGGGGCCTTGGTGGTCACTGACAGAACAACTCACACCCCCCTGGGAGCTCAACCGAAACCTGGACAGCAACAGCAGCCTCAGGGAGTTCACCTCATCCCTCCCCTTCCAGTGTGGGAAGCAGGCTCTGTTCTGGGCAATATCTGAAGCCTTGATGAACATGATCTGCATTCCCACTACTCTCGTGGAAGCTGGCCTAAACCCCAGACAGTCTCAGGAATGCCAGTGAGCTTCCTCCACTTCCTACACATGCCTGGGAGCCAACTGAATACAAGAAATGTCGGGAGCATCTGGGACCCCACCTTGCTACCATTCACCAGCACAGGAGCTACACTGACCACTGGGGATCTTCAGACTCTCGCCCTGCCACTCACACACAATCAGAACAGTGAGGCTGCACTCCAGGGAGCCTCTGGATCTTCAAAAATGACAAAATGAAGGAGCAAAATGCAATCCCAGACCTCCACAACACCCAAAACAAGTCCAGGAGGCTTGAAGTCATACAGAAGAGCCTGGAAGTCATATACTTGAAATTTTTGAAATGATAGCAACTGAAGTAAAGAAACAACTCCTTCAGGCCATAGAAGACTTCAGATCAGAAATAATGTCTCAGGTGAGAAAAGAAATGACAACAATAATGAAAGAAATGTTCAGCATATCTAAAGATGACATAGACAAGAAAATAGAAGAGCATGGACAACTCATGGAAACCTTCAGGGAGCAATATAGAAAAGAACTAGAAGGTATGAAACAGATGCAAACAGATAGCCAGGAAATTAAAAATTGCATTGAAAGCTTGCAAAACCACCTTAACAAAGCTGAAGATAGACTTTCAGAACTTGAAGACAGCATTGCCACTAATGAGCATGAAAGGAGGGATCTCTTAAAAACAACAAGGAACCAGGAAATAACAATTCAATAACTGCAAGATGAAGCAAAGAGAAACAACGTCACATTAATAGGTATTAATGAAACAGCAGGTGTCAACACAAATGACATAACAAGACTATTTGCAGAAATAATAGCAGAAAATTTCCCAGGCATGGTAAAAGAATTGGACATCCAG